TTATCTTTTCTTGCGTATATGTATATCTAAAAAATTAGTACGGACAGAGGAATTCAATTCTTGATTATTGATTATAATATGCCTGTTGTGCTGTAATTTTCCTATTTTTAGAAAAATCACTTTTTGAAATGTTCTAAGTATAAAATAATTTGAGAAAATACTTAGAAAAGAATAGCCACTTAATTTTTTAAAGAAATCAAGAAAAATTATAATTTTCAAAGACCTAAACAGAAAAAATCATTTGAAAATATAAAAAAAGATTCGTGATTCAATTTACACTTCGAGAAAGATTTAAGCATTCGAAATATCCGCTAACATGCGATTGACCTGCGACTTGACTGAAATACATTTGACTATTTTAAAAATAAATAACAAAATAATGATTTAACATAAAAATAATAGCTTATAATATATTTGATTAAGAAAATAATTAAATAGATGACGCATTTTTTATTTTTTATTTTTATTTAATTATTTTTAGAGAAGGGAACCCAAAAATGAAACATTTAAATTAAATTGCAAGTAAATAGAATTTTAACACAATTAGGTTAATTAGGAATTGCTTGACTCATTTTTTTATTTTTATTTTTAAATAATGATTTAAACTCAATTGGTAAATTTAAACATGAAAACCATTTTTTATTAATTGAAGAATAAGAGCTTTGACTAGCCTTTTTTTTTTTTTTTTGAGAAAATGACTAAGTAAGAAGGGAACATTTTTAGTTCATTTGAGAAAAAATATTTTAACTTGAAACCACTTAAAAATAAAATGTGATCAAGTGAATCAGCCTTAATACATATTTTTTAAGAACAAAGATTTAACTTAATTAAAATATAAAATTCGACCAATATTTGATTAACAAAATAAGTGAACACAACAAGTGAAATGTATTAAAATAAGCCAACACAAAGAAAATGACTCGTTTTTTTGGGGATTCTAATTAAGTTATTTAAAGTTAGAATTAAATAAGATTAGTCAACACATAATCAAACACTTAGAGTAGTAAACGAGATAATGAAATTGGGCCCCTTCTTGGGCCAATTTCGCTGTATTTTTAAGCCTTAATTCAATTCCCGTTTTGCGTATATACCGGATGTATATCAGTGTAAATGAGCATATATATTAGCTTTTTTCATGTATCTCTTGCTTCCGAACACCTGTATTTCGCCGCAAGCCTGTATTTTCACATTTTTTTACCTGTATATGAGTGTATACTGATGTATATCAATGTTTACAGGCTGTATCTCAGCCTGTTTTCAGCTTTCTGAGACTTTTGTGTCTGCGTACTGTTTTGTGGAACCTTCCGAAACTCGAACAAAGATAAAGGCCAACTCAATAATGGATCTTAACTCAACGAAATGCGGGGATGGAGTCCCAAGTGGACTTGGATAAATTTACATACAAAAAAAAGAAGAGGAAAACAAATTAGTATCACTCTAATTAATCAACTACGCATGTTTGATAATTTGACTTTCCAAATCAGTAACAACACTTCCAGGGGAATTGAAAATCACTTTACAAGATTGACACTCAAGTGATAAATACAACAAATTGCCTCCGTGATTTGGCATTAATATTTTAACAAGATTAAGAGAAGAACATGATTCAGTACACTCAAGTAATTCCTAAGGCTACTGTTAATGTATATAAAGTTCAGATCAAATTATTTTTGATAATGTATGAGGGTACTGTATCAGTTTTTATGAGGGAAATGAAACTAGATACACACTGCCAAGACATAACTGGAAGATAACAGTACAACTTCTAGTATTCAAGTAATCTTAAAGCTTCGCATCACTGTAGCACAATAAAAGAAGAACTCAAACCAATTGTCTGCTTTCGAACACCCAGTAACAAGTAAATGCTTAATTTAAAGTAAAACGAGGCGACACTCATTGAACAAATTCCTTTCTAATGCTTAGTAAAATTACAAACCATGAAGAGATGTAGAATCATTTACTCTTGTACATCTAGAAGAGGCGGCAACAGACCCATGTAACACCGAAACGAAGTCGAACACTTTTGAGTATGAACAAACCAGTAAATAAACTAGTGAGGTATGACAAGAATTTGCATAATTTGTTAATATGAAGGAATATGGTTTTAACATTTTTTACAACTTTAGCGAAAGGAGTGGGAGAAGGGATAAACATGATTCATCAATTTCCAGGGCATTAATCCAACAATAATATAATAATACGACTAAAAAATAAAGAGATAGAGAAAGCTACTGATCTAAGCTAAATAGAAAGCCAAGGAGATGAACACTTCGGGAGGTCTGGCCTTTTTCTTTTTTTTTTTTTAAATAGAGAAAACAACATTACAATAGCTAAATAAAGGAAACCAGCGATGCTAAAAGACAGCGGAAACAAGAATATACAGATTTAACGACATCAAAGCAAGCATACGAAAAGGAAAATAGCAAAGCGCTTTCAAACAGAGGAGTAGAGGAGCAATGATACTAAATACATAACACAAAATTAAATCAATATAAAAACTCAATCATAGTAACCGACTAAGAATAATGCATCATATCAGCATATCACTAACTCGGCACATGATAACGGACCAGCCACAGAACAAACATTTTCCAACATCGGAAAATACCACATCAAAATAAATGAATAGACGAGAATACTATGAAGGAGGAAACATTACCTTTTTTCCGGGCAGCGACTGAGACAACGTGCAGGGGGCAACTTTCCACGACTTTTCTACCACACTAGTGCGGACTCGAGCAGCCAAAAGCAAACGAATAAAAACAAAACCAACTGACCTTTTGTATGCTATTTTCGTATGTGAAATCTTGCCCTCAAAATCCAATCTTTTTTTTTTTTTATCAATTTCGCCCCGCCCTTTAGTGATTAACAAGGAACTATTTATAGAAGGGGAAATATGGTTCACGATTTTTGGGGGGAAAACGGGTGAAGAACGGATAGGAATAGGGGCCAATTCGGAATTCCCCACAAATTCCCAAATTCAAATTCTTTACCAGGATTAGAGAACAGTTGGGTTTGGTACGAAATTTCTTCCAAAATCCCAGAAAATCCGGACGAGGCAGCAGCGTGGACAACTTCGATCAAATCCACCGCCCTTGCGCTTGACGTGGCGCCATCTCATAGCCACAAGGTCGATTGGACGCTGCTGGCAGGGCTGGAACGAGTTGGTGAGGGCAGAGGAGGGAGACGTGGAAAGTTGCTGGTTCCGTGAACTCCGCTGTGTGATTTGACTCCGTTTGGTGTCGTTGCTGCTACTGTTCGAGTTACCGCTGTGTGATTTGACTCCGTTTGGTGCCATTTACTCGTTGCTTTGATGTTGCTGCTGCTTTGTCGTTGAAATTGAAAGGGAAAAAGGGGATGGGGCCTGGTCAGGGGGAATTGGGTCGATTTGGAATTGTTGTTTGGATATGTTGTATGTGTATTTTGAATTGGAATTGTGGGCTGGAATATGGTTGCTGCATTGTTGTTAGGCTGGAAACTATTTGTTGTACAGGAAATTGGAAGTGGGCCTTTAGGAAGTGGCCCAAAATTATTCTTAAAAGATGGGATAAGCAATTGACTAAAAATTGTCATTAAATAATGGATTTCAATTATTGCCGATTAGAATTTAATTGGTGAATTCGGCTAAAATTTAAACAAGATGAGTTAATACAAATTCATTAATGAGCTTCTTAATCTTAACGAAATAAAAAATAATTAACTTAATTATAAACTAATTAATTCAATTACAAAACTAATTAACTCAAAATTATAACTATAACTTAAAGTAAATTAATAAAATATTTAACTAACATGTAAAATCTTTTGTGATGATTTTCAAATATTTATAAAATAACGTGATTGCAAAAAATATACATATTTATTATTAAAAAATGATAAAATTACTTTAAACATAGCTTGAAAGTATTTTGAATTTCATAAAACTCATTAATTCAAAATTATAACCATCTCTAATATTTAAAATATAAAATCTTTTTTGAGGCGATTTTCGAATAATCGTAAAATATACTAATTATATACATAATTATGTAAAACATATATATCATCTAAGATTTATGAAAAGTGACAAACTATTTAAAAATCTTGCAAACTATATTATTATTATTATTTATTTATTTTCATTATTATTACTTTTTTTAGAAATTTTATAAAACTAATAATTTTAAATCGTTTGAAATTGGAGATGCTCTAAATGATTAATTTATATTGTGGAGGGTCAAAATTGGGTGTCAACAATGCCCTATTTTCATAGAAATATTATTTTATTCAATAAGCATAGTGCATGTATAATAGTATGTCTTTATCTTTACATGGTTTAACTTTTAACATATTGGATCTTAATTTATTAATTGCATTGTGTCTTAATCTACTTGTACGATATAACATGGTTTAACTTTAACATATTGGATCTTAATTTATTAATTGTATCTTAATCTACTTGTACGATATAATTAAGACATTGCTATGTATAAATACACATAGATAAAATCTTACCAACATTAGTTAATTAGATCCAATATCGCTATAGGTTTTAAAGACATTTACAAAAATATTAAGTGCTACTTAAAACGTAAATGTAATATTAATTATAACTAAAGATCATTTTCGGGGGGAAAATGAGTATCTTTCTTCCAACTTTTATTATTGATCGATGGATCAGTGGAACTATATATTCATATTTTATTTTGTAACTAATTACTACCTAGTACTAATTACCATACATTCTTATCTTTAAGTTTTGAATTCATTTAACAGATATTTACTACTTGTTTATAAAAATATTCAATTTGAGGATTGAGCTAGATGTTTCAATATATTCAATTCTTCATTTCTTTGCATGAAATAATTCATCGATTAAATTTATAACTCGCCTTATCACATCATGCATGTGAAATATATCTAATATATGAGTAAATAATAAATTTGATTGAGTTCTTTTAACGATAATCATAAATGATGTGCTAAAGGGTCTGAAATTTAATTAAGTACAACATTTAAATAGCCCTTCTTAAAAACATGTATACAAAACAAGTTTAACTTAAGGTGCAGAAAGTACAACTTAATTACAACACACTCATATGCATTATTGCATATGATGTGTTCGCAATAACCCTTTATTCAAACATTACATGGAATTAAAGAAATAAAATTAAAATAGCAAGTACATTAAACTCCAAATTAAATTAAACCTCAGCCACAACTATGTCATACTCCTCTCGATCATTGAGAACCCATTTTCCATCTTCTTGTTGAAACATTCCTTTGTTCTTCACAGTCCACCAATTTGCTGGGACAAGATACTCACTTTTCAATGCACCTGAAGATTTGTTAACAAGCGCGATATCACGATCCACCTCTAGTTTAAAACCTGTTAAAAGTCCTATACCTTGAGTTCCCGCAACTCCATGCATGTAACACTCCAAATTATGCCATGTGAGGATATCTCCAGGGAGATTTAAATAAGGGGATTTTGTGGTGTCGATTATTATTTCCTGCCCAACGTCGAGATAGCCAATAGGTGGATATTTCGGAACAATATCCAATATGTTATGAATTCTCATAACGTGAAGGTATTTCAATTTGTTAAATGCGTTTAAAAAATTGAGATCTCCAACTTTAGGACTTGCAAATACAAAAGCTGTCACTGGGAATTCCTTCCCATGACTTGACTTGTTGATTTTATTGTAAGCTATGTCAACTGCATTCAGAGTCGCAAGGGATGCACCTAGGCTATGCCCAGTCACAGTTATGCTCACCTCTTCATTCTTATATTCCTCTACCAATCTCTTCACTTCTTCAAGGACCTATACGTAACGTACTCTTTAATTAAATGCCATTAAATCAAAATATATGTACAAATTCAAGGTCAAGATTATATATACCTGATCTCTAGCACTTGTTTTATTAAACTTTGATCGTGCACTTTCTGATGTATAAACGTTGTAGAATCCATGATGCACCAATGGTTTGAACAAAGGAAGTAAACCCCCATCACCGAACACTTTTGGTCCTGGAATTGGTAAAAATTGAAGGTCATTAACCCACTCCAGTGTTTGAATTGTTCCTCTCCAAGCAATCACAATATCTCTTCTTCCTAGTGAAACTTTACCCTCATCAGTAGCCACAGCAACATATCCCATAAAATTTGATTCCTTACTCCATGCTTCCCTTGACAGTGATTTCGTAATGAAAGCATCAGGAAGTGGCATGGATGAGGTAGCATAGAAATACTTGGTTACACGATACTTCGATGGGTCAAGGCCAACATTAGAGAAAAGATTTTCCATCGAGTATCTGCTAGCTCCTGCATATTTTGATACTTTATCAGAAATGAAGGTGTCGTAAGTCACTTCAGCTTTTTCTCCATATTGAATGATATATTTACGAAGATCAACATCCAATGGATTTAATAGACCTTCCCAATTGTTTTTCCCACTAAGTTCCTCCCATTTCTCAGCCATGCTAGACTATCTTTTTTTTCTTGATTTTTTTTTTTTGTTACTCTTTAGTTTTTTCTTGGTATGTGAAGTACATTAAGCCCATGAATTTATAGGGAAAAAACTTCGTTGATCTCTAAAGTTTTTCAATTTTCATGCATGAAACACGTTTTGATTTTAATTTTTTTATTTTTGTGAATTATATATTGTCATAGCCCAATAATAAATGAATTAACCAAGAAAACATTAAAAATAGTAGTACTAATAATAATGATTTCCATATTGAATTTCTGAACTACTACCACCATTAACATTTTGCTGTTTGGCCATATGAAGAACATTTTAGCATATTTGAAATAATATCTAGAGAATTAAAAACCTATTATTTGAACTTCAAACTTCAAATATAGAATTAAACTGCATCAAGTTTTAACTTGCAAAACTTCAACTAGCTAGGTCCAAGGTTATGGTGGAGTGCTAAGTAATTAGGTTTCGGTTTCGAGTCCTCTAGGTACAAAGTCTCCTTTTGTTAGGGAGCGCTTTACCCGACGTGAAACTGGCGTGAATTTAGATTTAGTCGGAGTCCGGTGGAAAACAAAAAAAAACTCGATCTGTTTTAGTGTCCAAATTGAACTAACTTTTAACTTAAAATTAACTTAATTTACTTCGAGTGTTAACTTTGATAATTTCAACCAAATTATGTACAAACGCTTTATCCTTAGTTTGAATTTGTAGAGGGGAAAAGTAAGTTCCAAAATACCTACTACTCCTTATCTCCCTAGTTACTTGTCCACTTTTGAATTGACATACCTATTAAGAAAATAATTAATGACATAGTGAGTTTACCATTTTACTCCTATTAATTATGAAGTGGATGAAAAGTTCTACATTTTTCAAAGCAATTAGTCATTTAATTGAGGGTATAATAGGTAAAAAAAAATTAAGTCCTTTCTTGATTGTCAAAATGGACAAGTAATTAGGGACAACTATAAAAGAAAAAGTGGACAAACAATTAGGGACAGAGGGAGTATTTAATTTCATCACTTCATTAATGTATTGGTAAGAGACACCAACCAACTTGCTGATTGTTTTTGTCGACTACCTAAACTTATTACTTTACAAATTTCATTTTTAACGTGCGTGCATTTTATAATATTTGATAGAATGATTTTCATTAGGCGCAATTAAAATTAAATCATAATTGATAATTCAATTTAGATGTTATTAGATAATTGGGTTGGGTTATGGAATAAATGATTTGGAAGAAACAATTTTCAAAAAGAAAAAAGTAAGGTTGTATTTCGTACTTGATTTGGAAGAGACTTTGAATTTTATAAATAATGAATTATCGATTTAAGAACCAATTTTCTAAAAAAAATTTTGTCGAATTAATCAATAATACTATCGTCATCGTTTATCAACCATATATTTAATAGAGATTTAACACATATAAAAAATAATAATAAATATTAAATATAAAAAAAAAATCAAACCCCTAATTTCCCTGAGTCTTGCGACGTAACTTTAAAACACCTACAAAAGTATCCTAGATATGCATGGTAAATGATTTTCTTTTTTAGTTTTGGATGATGTTGGGTGGAAATAAAATTAGTTCAACGTACGAATTACTCAAACAATTAGAAAAAAAAATACTATTTACAGCAACTATTGCGATTTTTCTTAAAACATATTTATTACATCAGGAAAAGCCTAGAAGGCATATACTACAAATATGAAAGATGGAGGAGATTATTAATGTCAAGAAACTGTCCCAGAGAATGACCAGAATAGTGTGCATCATGACAAACAAGATATTTAACTTTAAATCAAGATTTTCAATTTTAAATATTAAAATTTGATCATAAGTTTAAAAAAATCATGATTTTACAATTTTGAATTTATATTATATATTTTTTAAATATTAATTTATTTGCTTTAGTTATTATAATAACTTATTCTGAAAAGTCAGTTTCATACTTAAACTCATGTGGCAGCCTATTATACCATCCAAAATGTACAAAGTTAGTCACTCAATCCAACGTGAATTACACACATCTGTCAGATCTTTTCAAGCTTACCCGTGTAATTTATTTATTTATTCTCTTTTATTCTCCATCGTTTTTGTTTTAATTTTCTCTCTCCATTTCTAAATGACTATTTTTGTTTTCAAGAAAACCACTAACAATGTCCTCTTCTTATTCCATTATTGATGATACAAATATTAGCAAAGTCATGCAATAACTTCATTCAATTTAATTTTTTTCTAACCACCGACAGAAATTTCAATACCAACACCATTTTATTGCGCGACACCTAACATCAAATATCACACGCTATTACTGTCACAAAAAAAAAATCAAACCTGACCACCTATTTCACCATCCGACACTCAAAAAAACAATTACCAACATTTATTTACAACGAGCTTAGTCGAACAATTGACAAATTAATGCTCGAGTTACCATAACTAATTATGTGAAAAATCTAGAGATGATTTTTTTAGAGAGAAGAAAGATCTATAAAAATACATTAAAAGATTGAATTTTGTGCAAAATTCAATAACTTCTTACAAAGAAAAAAAACAGGTATGGAAATGTTCTTATTTTATGTGCTCACTAGGTGTACAAAATCGAACCAAAAGTCTCACTTAAATCGAATTAATTAGCACAACTCATCTAGCTGGAATGTCCAATTAATTTTTTCTTCCAAACATCTCCTTCTTGTACGTGTGGAGGATGTGACATAATTTGGATATTATGAGAGCTAATTAAAAGTTCCTTTCCATGGTCCTCCTTCTTCCCCAATAATAATTAAAAGTTCCTTTCCCTAGCCCTTCGTATTCCCCAATAATATAATTTTAAGTTATGGAGGTGGAATATCGTTTTATGACCCTTGGGCATAATAATGAACTTGAATAGATACATATAAAGTTACAACTTGCAATTGATGACTTGCATAAAGGGTATAGTCCCATGTGAATATATATAGCTAGAAAGTATCAATTGTACTAGTTTTCATAGTACAAATTAGGGGTGTACAAAATCGAACCGAAAATCGAATCAAACCGCAAATCGAGTCAAACCGGAAAAAAAAAATCGACTAGTGGTTTAGTTTGACTTGGTTTGGTATTGGAAAAAAAAACCCGACTATATTTGGGTTGGTTTGGTTTTAACTAAAAAAAACCAACCCGATACCAAACCAACCTGACATTATATATGTAATTTTAAAAATTTTATTTTATTCATAAAAATATTTACTTTGATATAATTTTAAAATATTTCTTATACTATTTCATAGTTTTTATCTTTTAATATATTATTTCAAGTTTAAAACTTAGAATTCGGAATGGTCCAATAAAGATTATAGTTCATAGATGTTGATAATTATAATAAAACATAAATCAAAATCAAATTAATATTAATGCACAAAAGAAAATCAATTCAACACTAAGAATGACAATAATATTGAATATTTGTTCTTTAGTTTTACATTGGTTTAGACAATTAAAATACATAATCTAATTTTAATTTTCCTTAAATATTCAGTAATGTAACTAATACTTATTAAACTTATTTTAGCATGATTTAGTACTTTTAAATTATGATCATTTTCACTATGACTTTGCAATATTTATTTTATATGATGATTTCATTATTATTTTTTATTGAATATTTTAGTGTCATCAGTACTCATCTCATATTTTGTGTTATTTTCTTAAGAAACACCTTAGATAATTGTAATTTGGTTGAACTAAAGAAATATTTGGAGCACAAGTTAATTATATGTTTGTATGCAAACTTTACCGAAAAAATCCAAAAATCTGGAAAAAAATAATCCGAGGTTTATTAGTTGGGTTTGATTTATAAATTTAAAAATTTGACACAATGGTTTGGTTTGGTATTTGAAAAAATCCGAACCAACCCGAGGTTGAAAAACTCGAAAAAATCTAAATTTTATTAGTTTGATTTGGTTTATAAATTTAAAATTTTTACACAAATGATTTGATTTGATATTTGAAAAACTCGAACCAACCCGGTCTTGTACACCCCTTAGTGCTCACTATCAACAAAAAAGCAAATCAATTGAATAATCAATGCTCGATTTGACAAATTTAATGATGGAAGTCGGAGTAGTAAAAATTGATCAATTTTAGGTGTCTCGCTAAAATCTTTTTCAAGCAGCGAACCTAGTTAGTTGTACAACTTTGCGGATCTTTGTTGTGAATTTTGACCCTCAATATTCTTTTGTGCTTTTTTCTCTCAAAAAAATTACCATTAAAAAAATTGATTTGTGATAAAACGAAAAAATGAAGAAGGAGAAATATAAGATGGCGTGAAGATGAAGGGGTGGGGTGGCGTGGGGCTGGGGTTTATTTTTACTCAAACACGCCTTTTTTATTTTGTATTTTATTTTATTTTCATGTCAGTTTTGTTTGAGGATGATATTAAATTAATTTTGAATAGTAATGATGTGTAATAGGTCGTCATGATAATTTAAGCAAGTAACTGATTTTTTCAGAACAAGTTCAAACGGGAATTTATGTCTTTTTCTTATACTTATAATATTAATTGTTTTGTCAAACATGCATTTCATGGTGTTGTTAAAAAAAATATGCCCGTTTAATTTAGATGATTTATTAAATTAAAATATCATTAATTTGAAATCTATGTATTAATTAGTTTTTATAATATTAGTTAAGAATACATATTCATTTTTAATATATTTTCAAAATATAGTATCGATCTTAGGTACCAAACCTGATACTAGCTTTATTTATAAAGGCACATATTCTGGCAAAATTAACTTCTAATTTTTAATAATTAACTCCTATTTTAAAATTTTGACTTAAATTGTCAAATATGCGTTCCACTATGCTCTTAAAAAAATATGCACTTTTAATTTTTATGATAAATCAAATTAGACTATTATTAATTTGAATCTACATATGAATTATTTTGTATATTATTAGTTAAGATTATATGTTTAGTAATTCATATATTTTCAGGAGACAATATCTATTTTATGTACCTAATGTGTCACGACCCAGATCGTCGTGATTGGCACCCACACT